AAGGAGACATGCAAAATACGGTAATGTGTCTGCCAACTTAGAAATAAAATTTTATATTTATTCATTATGCTTTTTTTTTCTTTTTGTGTGTGTTTGTCTTTAAGTTTATTATGGCAGTTTACCTTCGTATTAGAATTGTAAAGATTAATATGGTGTACATTCGCATTATGCCGCAACCGTACAAACACCGAAATCATACAACAAAACTATAATTTCTCTTAGTGCATGACTATGCCTAGACCTTAACTCCCCGCATGAATAATGATTTTTATCTTCCTGTAATGCTAACCTGGCAAAATGGTATGCACGTTAGTGATGCCGATGATGGTAGTGATAACGAGAATGGTAGAGAGAGAAAGAGAGAATGTGTGTATTTGTGAGAGAGAGAAAGTGTGTGTATGTGTATGTGTGTGTGAGAGAGAGAGAGAAGGAAAGAAATAGACAATAAAAATAATAATAATAACAATAGGGCGCTTTTAGTACTTTCTGGCATTCATTTTATCATTAATAATTAGTATGAAAAGAATGACAAAGATAATGATGATGATAATAAGATTGGTTAGGAGAAATGATAATAATAATGAAATTGGTAATAAGAAAATTATAATAACAATAATGACATAATAATGATAAGAATGATAATGCTAATGCTAAGAAAAATAGCAATAACAGCAAGAATTATAATCATGGTAACAACAATGTTAGTAATAATATCAATAATAATAGTAATAATGATAACCGAGATAGTTAAAATGACAATATTGATATGATGGTAATGATTATGATAAAAAAAAAACTCACAATTTAGAAAGAAGTCGAAAGAACCAAACAACAAAAAAGACAAAAACACACACAAAAATAATGAAACAAAAATAGAACACAAACACACTCGTATCCGACGGGGATCGAACCCAAGCCCTTCGCGTAACAAGCGAGTATGCTATCCACTACACCACGGAGACCTATAAGTGTATACAAAATTATTTTTATTTAAACCATACATATGTCTAGTAAGCTAACGTATAGTAAAAGTATTGATATATGTTTTGTGTGTGAATACATTCCTTAAGACGCCTTATTATGATAATACATGAGACAAGAATAGGAAACATTATTTTTTTTTAAATTTCTATAAGCAAATATTAGCATTATGCCTTTGTAAAGTTTTTATAACATTTAATATGATTTTGCACATCAAAATAATCTATTGATATTATTTTAGCGATTCTCCATATTATCATATGCCTTTATGAAAGTGCAACTCAATCCCTTTCCTAGTCTATTTCCCTGTCTGTCTTCTCGTTTGTCTGTCTGTCTGTCTGAGAGAAGAGTAATTCCAGAGGAATTTTCTATAAATAACAGATTTATGACTTGAATTTCCAACGCCAGTGTTATCTGCAGTTACTACGGTTTGGTGTTTTCAATATATCTAATTGAATTAAAGAGCTTGATGGATCTGAGAGAAGAGAATTACTAGTTTCTTGTAACGGTTACTTTCTACCTTTTAGTACTGTCATATTTGTCATGATCAGCAATAGCACTGGCAACGGTAGTAGCATTAATACACGTCATCAGATAATTCACATCCCATCTATAAGTTTTTACCTGATTTTTATCAACCTGCAAGAATTACCAGTTCTTTTTTACTGCTATTTGTAGACTCTGGAATAGATTGCCTTCAGAGATTGTAACGTCTTCGACTCTTGATAAGTTTAAAACGTCAGCTAACATGTTTTCTTACGTAATTAGCTGACTTTCTATTTTTCATTCTTTCTTAGCTGTATCTTGACCTGCACTGACACCTTTGGTAGTATAAATCTCGTTTTTTTTTCAGTGTGGCTCTTTATATAGCTTACTACTACTACTACTAATAATACTAATAACCCAATGTCGATGGGGAAATGGTGTGTTCCCTTTGGCATTGCCTGGTTAAATATTTCTGAAAATAGAGGAGTCAGTTAGTAAATCTTGAGACCTCACTTTTCCCTGAAAAAGTGGAAGAACGCTCTTTTTTACTAGTGCTATCAATATTGACACTTATTTTTGTTATAAACATTATAATTACTATATTGTTACTGGGCAATGGCATGTACGTACATGCCATGCCCGGCGGATTGTGGTTACCCATGGTAGCTTGATTTACTTGTTTTCTAATTAGCAGATTTTGATAGCGTGCAGATTAGAGACATTGGAATGTAGATATTAAACAGAGAAAAAGAGCAGATAAATTAAATGCAAAGAACTGTTAATGTATTAATCTCGCGTTGGTGAAATAAGGTCGTTTGCCCCGAAGAAACCCGTAGGCTACTGGGAACGTTTTTATAGGCGTAAGATTTAATTATTTTATTTGTACAAATATTCACAATGAATTTGAAATCGGTCCACTGCGACATCGCATGATATTCACTTGTTATATTTGACATAGAAACAATATGATGGATACGCGTGAAGGGTGAGTCAAGCAGTTTATGTACGGTAATGATTTGGTTATAAGAAGATTATAATAACAATAATGATATGATAATGGTAAGGATGATAATGATAACAAAAATATCTATAACATCACTAAGAATAATAATGGTAACAACAATGTTAGTAATGATATCAATAATGGTAATAGTAATAATGATAGTTAAAGATAGTTAAAATGACAATATTGATAAGATGGTAATGATTATAATCCTGTCACACTTAAGAAAGAAGTTGATAGACCCAAATAACAAAAAAGAGACAAAAAACGACAAAAATAATAATAAAAGAAAGATAGAACAAAAAAAGTGACAAAAAACGACAAAAATAAAAGAAATAGAGAGACTAATATCCATCGGGAATCGAACCCAAGCCTTTCGCGTAAGAAGCGATCGTGCTATCCACTACACCACAGGAACTTCATTTATATGCATTATGTTTAAGGCTTATATTTGTCTAGTATACTTACGTATGGCAAAAAGTATTGATATATGTTTTTGCGTGCATACATTTCTTTTAAGACTCCTCTATAGTCTATACATATTTTTTTTTGGTTAATTTATGTATATGAAAAATTCTCGCCTGCAGTATCAGTCTTATCTTATTGAGTAAACATTATAATTACTATATTGTTACTGACATTACCAACAGCAGTATTAAATATTTGAACATAGAAAATCAAGGAAAAGGGTAAAAAGGTGAGACAGGTAGTTCGCGTGTGGCTCATTGACAGTACTTGTGGAGCCATCTATACGTAAAAACAATTACTAAATTCAACACACACAATGGGCAATGGCATGTACGTAGATGCCATGCCCGGCGGCTTAGGGTTACCTCTACCCCTAAGCCGCCGGGCATGGCATCTACGTACATGCCATTGCCCATTGTGTGTGTTGAATTTAGTACTTGTTTTTACGTATAGATGGCTCCACAAGTACTGTCACCAATGAGCCACTTACGCGAACTACCTGTCTCACCTTTTTACCCTTTTCCTTGATTTTCGATATGTTCAAATATTTAATGCTGCTGTTGGTAATGTCAATAACAATATAGTAATTATAATGTTTATAACAAAAATAAGTGTCAATATTGATAGCACTAGTAAAAAAAGAGCGTTTTCCGCTTTTTCAAGGAAAAGTGAGGTCTCAAGATTTACTAAATGACTCCTCTATTTTCAGAAACATTTAACCAAGCAATGCTAATTACGTAAGAAAATATGTTAGCTGACTTTTTAAACTTATCAAGTTTCGAAGAAGTTCCAATCTCTGAAGGCGATCTATTCCAAAGACTTGTAGACGATCGACTTACATCAAATGCCATTGAATGGAGGGCCATAGAACTGCTAATTCTTGCAGGTTGATAAAAATCAGGTAAAAACTTATAGATGGGGTGTGAATTATCGGTTACAATCCTGTATAAGACTGAAAGAGGCCCAATAACTCTACGATGTCCAATGTCCAAATTTAAGTCAGACAGGAGAAATTCAATGGAATTAAAAGAACGATCAAGCAGTCTAAAGTGTGCGTCTGCAGCAGATAACCACACAGGAGAACAATAATCTTAATGAGGCAGAATAATAGAAAAGAAGCAGCTACGTGTAAAGTTATAATTTTCATAGATTTTCTTGCACTTGTGAATGATGCCTAACTTTGATGAAATTGCCCAGGCCATATTCCTATTATGCAATTCAAATGTAAGCTTTGAATCAAAGGTTACACCTAAGAGCTTCAGGTTATCCACTGAAGTGATTAAGACTCCATTAATCAGCTGACTTGGATGCTGAGGCAACTGCGTTCGAGACCGACTCACATTTCTTTAGACTTAGTAGGATGCAAAGATGGATATTGCAAAATGGGAGACAAGCAACAACAATAATGATCACAGAATAAATCAGACAGGACGAATAATATAATAGCACTGCTGATGACGTGTATTAATGCTACTACCGTTGCCAGTGCTATTGCAAATGATGACAAATATGACAGTACTAAAAGGTAGAAAGTAACCGTTACAAGAAACTAGTAATTCTCTTCTCTCAGATCCATCAAGCTCTTTAATTCAATTAGATATATTGAAAACACCAAACCGTAGTAACTGCAGATAACACTGGCGTTGGAAATTCAAGTCATAAATCTGTTATTTATAGAAAATTCCTCTGGAATTACTCTTCTATCAGACAGACAGACAGACAAACGAGAAGACAGACAGGGAAATAGACTAGGAAAGGGACTAAGTTGCACTTTCATAAAGGCATATGATAATATGGAAAATCGCTAAAATAATATCAATAGATTATTTTGATGTGCAGAATCATATTAAATGTTATAAACACTCTTTACAAAGGCATAATGCTAATATTTGCTTATAGAAATAAAGAAAAACTAATGTTTCCTATTCTTATCTTATGTATTATCATAATAAGGCGTCTTAAGGAATGTATTCACACACAAAACATATATCAATACGTTTTGCTATACATTAGTTTACTAGACATGTATGATTTATATATAATTAACCTTTTCTCTCACCATGTCTCCGTGGTGTAGTGGATAGCACACTCGCTTGTTACGCGAAGGGCTCGGGTTCGATTCCCGTCGGATACGAGTGTGTTTGTGTTTTATTTTTTTTTTTATTTTTTTTTGTTTTTGTCTTTTTTGTTGTTTGATTCTATCGGCTTCTTTTTACAGTGTGACTGTTTTTTTTTGTAATCGTAATCATTACCATCTTATCAATATTGTTACTTTAACTATCTTGGTTATCATTATTACTATTATCATTATTGATATTGCTAACATTGTTGTTACCATGATTATAATTCTTGCTGTTATTGCTATTTTTGTTAGCATTATCATTCTTATCATTATTATGTCATTGTTATCATAATTTTCTTATTACCAATTTCATTATTGTTATTATCATTTCTCCTAACCAATATTATTATCATCATCATTATCTTTGTCATTCTTTTCATACTAATTATTTAGGATAAAATGGATGCCAGAAAGTACTAAAAGTGCACTATTGTTATTATTATTATTATTGTCTCTATCTTTCCTTCTCTCTCTCTCTCAATCACATACACACACACTCTCTCTCTCTCTAACAAATACACACATTCTCTCTCTCTCTCTCTCTCTCTCTCTCTCTACCATTCTCGTTATCATTACCATCATCGGTATCACTAACGTGCATACTATTATGCCAGGTTAGCATTACAGGAAGATAAGAATCATTATTCATGCGGGGAGTTAAGGTCTAGGCATAGTCATGCACTAAGAGAAATTATAGTTTTGTTGTATGACTTCGGTGTTTGGACGGTTGCAGCATAATGCGAATGTACACCATATTAATCTATAAAATTCTAAAACGAAGGTAAACTGCCATTATAAACTTAAAGACAAACACATACACAAAAAGAAAAAAAAGGCATAATGAATAAATATAACATTTTATTTCTAAGTTGGCAGACATATTACCGTATTTTGCATGTCTCTCCTTTTTGAAATGCCATCACGCTTTCATTTAATGATATTCCTATTATAAATTATTGCAGAAATGTCCTTTCAGAGCAATTTCCATGTATGTTTTATTCTTTACCTTATGACTAATTCTTTGTCATTAAAAATAATCTTTCTTGGGTAAACTGTCTGGATTATCATCGACATCAATGTCATTTTCTTTATCTTTAATATAATTATTACTGTTATTATCAACAATATTACTACCATTATCACATTTGGTAATTATTATTATCATTACCGTTACCAGTGTTTTGTCATTCTCGTATCATTATCATCATAATCATCATAATTACTACGAGCGGTATCATTATTATTATTATTATTATTATTATTATTATTATTATTGTTATTATTATTATTATTATAGATACTAATAATGATAATGATAATAGTAATTCTAATTATATTACTACTAGTAGTAGTGATTATGATAATTATGATAATAATGATATGAGAATGACAAAAAAACAATGAAAACGGTAATGATAATGATAATTAAAAAACAATAACAACGGTAATAATAATGATAATTCCAAAAAGTTAAAATGGTAATAATAAAGTTGATGATAGCAGTAATAGTGATAATTAATACAAGTAAATCACGCTACCATAGTTAACAGCCTGTAAGATTAAATCACCGTTTTACCAATATCCAAAGCTCCGCAGAGGCCTCACAAGAAACTCCAGGAATTCTCGAAGCATCTCTGTTGCACTGTAGACCAAACAACTGATATGCAAAATAATAAAACAAAAATGTCCAAAAAGATGAAAAATGTAAACAATTCTTTTAATTATATCTTTTTCTACCACTTTGAGCTTTCTTTTTCTTCCATCTTCAGTTCTTTGTTCGTCTTTCTATTCCTTCTTTATTTTCAGCTTCTCTGTCGCTTTCTTCTAATTGCTTGGAGGTGTGTTAATGGCTTAGGATTTTCGTGTGTATGTATATGTATGGATGATGACTGAGGGAGGAGAGAGGCAGTGACATAAGTAAATTATTTTCAGAACCTACGGTCTATTTTTCGATCGAAATGCTTTCATACACATATATAAACACATATATGCATGCGCACATATAGAAACGTGCGCACACATGTACAGATACATGCGAATACATCCACACACACGTGCAGACACACTACACAGACACACGCTAAAACATACACACATACATATACACGTACACACACGCGCGCGTAAAACAACCATATGAAGATAGGAATCAAATGAAAATAAAGAACATTGATCTCTTTAAAACTAGCACACGCACGTAGATAAAACGACAAAATATATAGTCGACCCTTTGCAAAGATGATAGACCCAGATAGCACACGGCCAGAGGTTTATAAAGATGAACACCCAGCGTTGGTGCGGCCAAAGCAACGAAGTGAATGGGTTGCTGATTGACACCCGTCAGATTACACAGGGTCCGAAGCATATAATCAGAGACCGAGAAAGATGGAGGGAGATAAAGAGAGATAGAAGAAGAGAGATAGAGAGAAAGAGAGAGAGAGAGAGAGCGAGATAAAGGGAGAGAACGAGAAATAGAGAGAAAGGGAGAAAGAGAAAGAAATAGAACAAAATTTGTTATAGGAATAAAGAAAAATCTGTTTTTTATTCTTGTCTTATATATTAGATAAGATTGATACTGCAGGCGAGAATTTTTATTATATACATAAATTAACAAAACAATATGTGTAGGCTGTAGAGGAGTCTTAAAAGGAATGTATGCACGCAAAAACATATATCAATACTTTTTGCCATTCGTAAGTATACGAGACAAATATAAGCCTTAAATATAATGCGAAATGTAAATGAAGTTTCTGTGGTGTAGTGGATAGCACGATCGCTTCTTACGCGAACGGCTTGGGTTCGATTCCCGACGGATATTAGTCTCTATATTTTTTTTTGTTGTTGTTGTTGTTTTTTGTCTCTTTTTTGTTATTTGGTTCTATCAACTTCTTTCTTAAGTGTGACAGGATTATAATCATTACCATCTCATCAATATTGTCATATTAAGTATCTTTAACTATCATCATTACTATTACCATTATTGATATCATTATTACTAACATTGTTGTTACCATAATTATACTAATTGTTGTTATAGATATTTTTGTTATCATTATCATCCTTACCATTATTATATTATTATTGTTATTATAATCTTCTTATAACCAAATCATTATCGTACATAAACTGCTTGACTCACCCTTCACGCGTATCCATCATATTGTTTCTATGTCAAATATAACAAGTGAATATCATGCGATGTCGCAGTGGACCGATTTCAAATTCATTGGGAAAATTTGTACAGATAAAATAATTAAATCTTACGCCTATAAAAACGTTCCCAGTAGCCTACGGGTTTCTTCGGGGCAAACGACCTTATTTCATCAACGCGAGATTAATACATTAACAGTTATTTGCATTTAATCTATCTGCTCTTTTTCACTGTTTAATATCTACATTCCAATGTCTCTAATCTGCACGCTATCAAAATCTGCTAATTAGAAAACAAGTAAATCACGCTACCATGGTTAACTGTCTCGGTTATCATTATTACTATTATTACTTATATTATTACTAACATTGTTGTTACCATGATTATAATTCTTGCTGTTATTGCTATTTTGTTAGCATTATCATTATCATTCTTATCATTATTATGACATTATTGTTATTATAATTTTCTCATTGCCAATTTCATTATTGTTATTGTTATTTCTCCTAACCAATATTATTATCATCATTATCTTTGTCATTCTTTTTATACTAATCATTTATGATAGAATTGATGCCAGAAAGTACTAAAAGCGCACTATTATCATTATTATTATTATTGTCTCTTTATCTTACCTTCTCTCTGTCTCACACACACATACACATACACACACACTCTCTCTCTCACAAATACACACATTCTCTCTCTCTCTCTCTCTCTACCATTTTCGTTATCATTATCATCATCTGTATCACTAACGTGCATATTATTTTGCCAGTCTAGCATTGCAGGAAGATAAAAATCATTATTCATGCGGGGAGGTAATTAAAACGTCAGCTAACCTGTTTTTCTTACGTAATTAGCTGACTTTCTATTTTTCATTCTTTCTTAGCTGTATCTTGACCTGCACTGACACCTTTGGTGGTATAAATCTCGTTTTTTTTCAGTGTGGCTCATTATATAGCTTACTATTACTAATAATAATACTAATAACCCAATGTCGATGGGGAAATGGTGTGTTCCCTTTGGCATTGCTTGGTTAAATGTTTCTGAAAATAGAGGAGTCAATTAGTAAATCATGAGACCTCACTTTTCCTTGAAAAAGCGGAAAAACGCTTTTTTTTACTAGTGCTATCAATATTGACACTCATTTTTGTTATAAATATTATAATTACTATATTGTTACTGACATTACCAACAGCAGCATTAAATATTTGAACATATCGAAAATCAAGGAAAAGGGTAAAAAGGTGAGACAGGTAGTTCGCGTAAGTGGCTCATTGGTGACAGTACTTGTGGAGCCATCTATACGTAAAAACAATTACTAAATTCAACACACACACAATGGGCAATGGCATGTACGTACAAGTCATGCCCGGCGGCTTAGGGGTTACACAATCTCTGAAGGCGATCTATTCCAGAGTCTACAAATAGCAATAAAAAAACATCTAGAAAACTGACTTGTAGACGATCAACTTACATCAAATGCCATTGAATTGATGGCCATAGAACTTCTGGTAATTCTTGCAGGTTGATAAAAATCAGGTAAAAACTTACAGAGGGGATGTGAATTATCGGTTACAATCTTGCATAAGACTGAAAGAGCCCCAATAACTCTACGATGTCCAGTGTTCAAACTAAAGTCAGACAATATATATTTAATGGAATTAAAAGAACGATCAAGCAGTCTTAAGTGTGAGTCTGAAGCAGATTACCACACAGGAGAACAATGCTCTAAATGAGGCAGAATAAAAGAAAAGAAGCAGGTACGTGTAAAGTTGTAATCTTCATAGATTTCCTTGCACTTGTGAATGATGCCTAACTTTGATGAAATTGCCCGAGCCATATTCCTAATATGCAA